ATCTGCACATCCCTTCTAAAACCTACTATGTCTTGTAGTCTATTTAAATGGTCTTTTGAAATGGCTGCCATACACATGCTAGAAGGGGGGGGGGGAGCACAGTTGTGTGAGAAACACATTCAGCTTCCGAGAATTCAACAGAGTGAAGCAGCAAGCAGTTTATTGAAAAATACATTCTAGCAAGTAGGCACATCCAAAAATAGATTTCAACAGCATTTTATTCCCTCAGCATGAAGTACAAGTCACTCCCTTGCAATCCCATTTTGATAAGTTTACACCTTATCTGGAATGCCTAAAATTCCCTCATGTGAATCCCCTACCTGAGTCTTACCTGTGTTCACTCTCTAAGTTAATTTCTCTATTAGCAGTGTATGTGCAGTTTTGCCTCACCCACAGGTCCTGTTTTCTTGGAACCCATTTGCGTAGGCATAAGCAGTATTATTATGTGCAAGGTCTTATGGTTAAATTGTTGGCACATACAGTTCCTGTTCTCCTAACCTTTGCTTTTACTTGTTATTCTAGGCCACATTCATTTCCCAAGTATTTGTTCTTAAAATGTATTAAACATGGTCTGATGCAAAAACAGCACTTTATTATTCCCTACAATTTCCCCCCTTTTCGTTTATACCCTAGTTTGCTTTTTGCAATTTTCCTATGTTCCATACAATCCTTCTCACCTTGACAACATCATGTCACACTCTCCGTCCTGATTACATCTACCTCCTTCCTCTATTTCTTCTTCTTCTTTTAGAAGAAGCAGAGCTTCACTGTATGGAGGTGGTTTTAAAGGCTTTTAATACCCCTGCCACCACTGCCACCACCAAAGATGTGAAGATTGGCACTACCATAGCTTTCCACTTTCCAAACTATGAATCCAGCCAAAGAAGAATCTATTCCAGAGTTCTGAGCCAATTATTCTGCCAGCTTAGTGAGACCTTGTAACATCTTAGTAATTTTTCCATCTGGTCCTGTGTTATTTGGAATAAAGGAGCATCTGCCTCTGACATTACACCCTAACCCTAACCCTCCCTTTTTATTCTACAGAGCTCTTTTATTACCTTATCTTTCTCAAATGCCAGGGTGAAGGGGATTGCCAGTTGGACAATCGCACAAGTACCTGCCCAGTTTGAGGGAAGTGTGTGTCTTAGAATTTTATCCTCGCAGTACCACCATAAATCAGCTCTAGGAATACCCATGCTGGAGTAATTCCTTTTTTCTGCTGCTGTGGTTACATTTACTATTTCTATGCATGTTTCCAGTTCTCCTACCATCTTATCAGAATCCACCTCTTGACTTGTGAGGTGTGCAGTGTAGTTACCATAGGCTGCAGAGAATATAAGTGGTTTCTTAATATCCCGGCCCTTTATTGGTGGAAACAGGAGAGAAAGGGATTTGCAATTCTCATTTCCTCCAGGCTGTTTTGTCTTGATAAAGAGCCAATATACATCTCATGCCACCTAAGTCTTTAATCCACAGGCTGGCAACTTGCGGCTCCCGAGCCGCATATGGCTCTTTGAGCCTTCCCCTGTGGCTCCCAGCCTGCCATTTGCAGAGAGAGACAGAGAGAGGCACTTGCGCTTCCCTTCGTGCTCTCTCTCTCTCTCTCTCCCTCCCTCCCCCTCCCTCTGTGTGTCTATGTGTGTAAAAAAGAGTGGACTCACAGTGTTCTCTGACCAGCTGAAAATCTTACTGGCCAGAGCTCCTCTCTTTGCTGCGTCTCTGCAGGAAACAGGAAGGGCAGGAGAGGGCTAGCTAGCCCAGCTATGCTGACTCAGGAATTCTGGTAGTTGAAGTCCATGAGTCATAAAAGAGCCAAGGTTGCCTACCCCTGAGCTTGTTGGAGAACAGCTTGAAGCCAACTTGCCAGGTGAGGAGAAGATAGGAGAGAGGGGGGGGGAGAGTCTCTCTCTCTCTCTCTCTCTCTCTCTCTCTCTCTCTTACAGTCTCCGCCTCAAAAGTTTGTCTTAAATTGTCTTTTTCCACTATATTTACTGCTTTGGGATCATTAGATGGAACAAAAGGTTTGACCTGAGGCACTTTGCCTTTATCATCCAGACGTTGGTCAGCGTTAAACAACATCATAGATAAGGGGTGTCAAACTGCTAGCCTGCGGGCATGGAAGCGATGGCCACCCCAGCTCCGGCAAGGGGAAAAAAGTTGCAATACATTGCGACACGTCATGTGATGTGGCAAGTTTGACACCCCCATCCTAGAGGATCTTTTCCTGGTATGTTGATTCCCATAAAGTATTGTTAATTTCCCTATATTCTTTATAGTCATGCTGACCGTATTGCATCTCTTCTCCTTGCACTGTGATACAGAGGGTTTCCTAAGAAGGGAAATGCAAGATTTTATCCCTGCTATCCCTGATTCAGCATAGGAGGTCCATCCTTTTGCTTCTGTTGTCCATCACACATCCTCTCAGAGAGAGCAATCTGAGTTCACACACATGTACTTTTCCTCATTTGCATATTGTCTCTGGTTACTCAGACCCCCACAGTTTATTAAATGGCACACATCAAATTGAATTACCTGGGGCTTAGAAGTTTCCTGGACTCTAATAGTAAATTTTACAGTGCCAAAGGTGTGAAAATTTTGCACAAACACATGTTTCTTACCATAAGCAGTGGTCAATCCTTGTACTACATGCATCACCTGTAATATGACCACCCATCCCTCTGTGTGCCCCATTTTCGCAAAGGAGTTTCAACACCTGAGACAGTCTAAAGCAGGGTGAGGGTCTTCAAACTTGGCAACTTTAAGACTTGTGGACTTCAACTCCTTGATAAAGAAGGCTGGCTGAGGAATTCTGGGAGTTGAAGTTCACAAGTCTTAAAGTTGCCAAGTTTGAAGACCCTGGTCTAAAGCATGCAAGCCCTTTTTATCCAATAATTTCCCCTCAGCTGAAATTATTTGCCTCTCTGTCTGCTGAGTAGAGAATAATTCAGGTTTACTTCCCTCCCCTAATCTAAATAACTAACACATTTCCGATTTACTTGTCTATGCTGGAAATAGAACTGAGTTTCCCAGCTTCTCACACTCGACTTAAGCCTTGTTTTATATTCCACTTGTCCTCAGTTTTCTTCTGCCCCGCAGGGTAATACCAAATAGGATATTTAAACCAAGGACACCAATACCTTGATTCAATAATGCTTGGCCTCTACGACCATTGCAACCGGTCAGTAAATTATCCAGATGAAGTTATCTTCTTGCCAGGTGTCCTGTAATCTAAAAACAAATATATCTTTGTTATTCTTAGCTTCCGAAGGGGGTCACTTAAAGGTTGCACTTTTCACTTCTCTCTTGTGGAGCCTCCACTGGTCCCTTTAGTCAGCTGTAATGAGTTCAGCTTTTTTCAGAAGTTCTTGAAATGCAAAAACAACACTTTGTTATTCCCTACAGTTGATAGGACAATTTGGCACATCTTAAAAAGATAAAGATAAGAAGATAATTTTCCAGAGAAGTGCAAACAAGGGGGGGGGGGAGGGGAATGGATTCAGCAGGCATGCTGCTCCAGATAGATCCTTCCCCAGCTGATCCTTCTTTAGAGGAGGGTTCACCAAACATATAAAAAAAGAGGTAGCGTTTGATTGCACCTTTGCAGCCGCCATTTTGAATTTTGGACCACATTCTTCAGACGCCCCTTTTTTTACACAGAAAAATAAAACCAGCCTAGAAGTAGTCCTCAACTTATGACCACAAGAGCCCAAAATTTCTGTTGTTAAGTGAAACATTTATTGAGTCTTGCCCCATGACTTTCCTTGCCACAGTTATTGAGTAAATCACTGCAGTTGGTAAATTAGTAAAATGGTTGTTAAGTGAAACTGGTTTCCCCATTGACTTTGCTTGTCAAAAGGTTGCAAAAGGTGGTCACGTGACCCTGGGACACTGCAACCATCATAAATGTGAGTCAGTTGCCAGGCATCTGAATTTTGATCACGTGACCCTGGGGATGCTACAATGGTCATGTGAAAAATGGTCATTAGGTCACTTTTTTTGTGCTCTTGTAGCTTTTGAACAATCACTAAATGAACTGTTGTAAGTTGAGGACTACCTGTATTTGCAATCAGGCCTGCTGCATGGCCCAGGCTGCAGAGACAGCAAGAAACTCAGCTTCTTCTCTTTCCCCCTCCCCACCCCGGCCTTTGATACAGGTAGTCCTTGACTTATGACGACTGGGCGCAGAATTTTTGTTGCTAAGCAAGGTGGTTCTTAAGCAAGTTGTACTCAATTTTACGACCTTTTTCGCCCTCACATGACTGCAGTGAATCACATGGTTATTAAGCAAACCCAGCTTCCCCCATTGACTTTGCTTGTTGGAAACCAAGCTGGGAAGGTTGCAAATGGTGATCACAGGACCCTGGAACACTGCAATTGCAAATGCATGCTGGTTGCCAAGTGCCCAGGTTTTGATCATGTGACAGTGGGGATGCCATAGCAATAGCATTTAGACTTATATGTACCAAGCACAGATCCAAAGGGATACAAAGCTTCACAGCCCCCTCTGGGCAGTTTACAATGTAAACATTATTTGTATACTGCCCCCAACAATCTTGGTCCTCATTTTACCGACCATTTGAAAAAATGGAAAGCTAAGTCAACCTTGAACCCGTTAGGATCGAACTCCAGACTGTGGGCAGAGTTTGCTTGTAATATGTAACACTTGAACCACTGTGCTGCCAGGGCTGTTTCAGGGCTATGACAGTCATAAAGATGAGAATCTTGTTCTTTTTTCAGAGCCCTTGTAATTTTGAACAGTCACTAAATAAACGGTTGGAAGCTGAGGACTCTCTGAAGTCAGCTTCCACTGCTGTAACAATTTGGCATAATTTCATAGTCTTGCTCCAACATTAGCTTCTCCTCCTGACCAACAGCCTGCTGGGCTTCCCGTTTTGTCAGCTTCTTGACTTACTTCTTTGTGTGAGATCTGCAGTAACGAAGCTTCATTAAATAGTAAAAAACAAAGAACAAAAACCCAAGAAAATATCCACACATCACTCTGGCAGCAAGAAATGGTGTTTATTCAGAAAGTAACTGGGAAACAGGAGAGGGAGGGTTGAATTCTGAATCTCTGCATAGTATTGGAAGCATTAAGAGACCACCTGCCTTCCGAATTCATTTCCCATCAGCAAAGCTGAACTAGTCTGACACTGTTTTAAACAAACCACCCTTTTTGCCTGCTGAGTTCTACCCCATTTCCCCAGCCTTGCACTGACCTAAATCAAGGTGTCATCAAAAACTGGGAAAGGGAGAAAAGTCACAGGCGGCTGGCGCTAGACAAACAGCGATGAGCTGGGAGGGCTATGTTTGTCCCACACTTCTCCATCCTGGTATTTTCCAGATGTGCTGAATTCTGCAGCTTTCAGAATTGCCAGTCACTGTGCCCAAAGTTGGCAGTTGCAGTCCCAACCCATATGGCATAGTCAACAGAAAGGCTGCTTTGCCCTGTCACTATGAAACAACAGGAATAAATCATTTTGCTTCTGCACAACCCAGCTGGAAGACCCAATGGGGTATAAGCAGTGGATGAAATAAAGGATGTTATCACTGAATTGATAGCTGTGCTGAATGAGTCTAAGGATTGGTGGGAATGGCTGGAAAACCTGATGCAGCAGTTTTGTCTTTCGGAAATGGGCTTTGCTTCTCCCTGGATTAGTCTTCCAAATGACAAACATGCCATAAACATAGGCAATTCAGATTTTCTTGCTAGCTTGTTAGCTTCCTCCCCAGGGCTGCTTGCTTCCTCTGATTAATTTGGGTAATTTTGCATTCACGCCTTATATAGCATCTAGTTAATGTCTAAAAAAATAAGGCACCGTTCTTTGATCTCTTGTTGAAAAGTGGCTCTGAAGAAAGAAGAGATAATTTACAACGTTGAGGTGCTCATTTAATAGGTACTCATCTCTCTGCTACAAATTGAAAAATATAACCTTATAGGGCTGAATTTGCAGGACCACAAAATGATCAAAACTATAGAGCAATGCTTCTCAACCGTGGCCACTTGAAGATGTATAGATTTTAACTCCCAGAATTACCCAGCCAACCATGCTGGCTGGGGAATTCTGGGAGTTGAAGTCCATATATCTTCAAGTGGCCAAGGTTGGGAAATACTGTTCTAGAATAACCTTGCTCAGTGTCAGCATCTTTAAGAAGTGTGGCCTTCAAATCTGGCTGGGGAATTCTGGGAGCTGAAGCTTAAGGGTGCTGAAGTTGAGAAACAGCTTGGTACAGCAGACTGTAAGAAAACCTGTTGTTACAGAACTCATTCCCAATTCTTGTGCTCCCTCAAACAGTTGAGATTACAGTTAATAATCTCCAGCCAAAGTAACCAAGTGAGTGGTGGTTGGCAATTATGGGAACTGTAATCCCAACAAAGTCTGGAAGACACCCTGTAACATTTGAGAATAGAGTACAAGTGTAAATATACCCGGAGAGAATACCTTTAAAAAAAAAAAAAGATTTTAGTCACTTTTCATTTGTCTACCTTCTATAGCATTCCTGCCAAATAAGCTGGAGAAATATAATTTGGTGGGTTTCATGTGAATTTTATGATAGCGTGCCCAAGAACATTCTCATAGACCTGCAAATTATGGAAATTCTAGCAGAGATAATTCAACCAGACCAAACATTTGTTTTGATGTGCCGTACATTTTCACACAGCATGGTGAGCAGTTGCCACAGCTAGCTGCTAATGTTTAGATAGCCACATTGGCCTAAATCTCCCAGTAACCTTGGACTACTGGGACATAAGACACCAATGCCATCCATCTCCCTGAAAAAGTAGACTTCATCCTACGAAACACCCTTAGAATGCTGTTCCACCACCAGTCCAAAGAATTATTTTGATCCTGTATAAATATGAATCTGTATGCTCCTTTTGTTTCATAACACCTAGTAAAAATGACAAAAAAATATTAGGAGTTAGAAAGGCACAATCCACCAAAGATGGAACCTCCTCTTTCAATGGCATCTTTTTATGATCAGCTACAAAAATAAGATATAGTCCCTAAAGGAAAAGATGTTCTTCTCCTACTCCCATGCCATACTTCCAAGAAACAGAAGGCTGCTGCTCCTGGCAGTCACTTCTGGTGGCCCCTGGAAATTATAACTTCTCCATCACTGTGGGACATCAAGATGAAACAATCCCATCTTTTATTTCAGAGTTGGCACTGAACAAAACAAGATAGCACGCCCAACCAAGCTAAAATATGTGCATGTCATTCTCAGGTACATGGCATCTAAATCAACGTCACTGTTTCAACCAATCCAATGTGGCCTCTTGGAGATGACCTGATTTTGAGAATTAACGGTTTCCAAAGTTGGCATCAGGCAACTAATCAAGGTTCAATGTAGCAGATACAACCAACAAGACTAGTACACAATATTTTAAATCCTAAAGTGGCACAGAAAGTTGTTAAGAACCTGAGTATCAACTGTTTGATTGAAACCAGTTTCTAAACTTGTTCCATTACATTATGATGTTAGAAGTTGATATTACAGTAAGGTGAAGTAATAATGTCCTAGGCTATAATGTCATGAATTTGAATTGGTTGACTGGTGGTTGATCTCCCAAACGTTGGTTTTATCCTGTTCAAAGTGAACGCCGGGATTTCTGGTATGTCTGACCATCCAAGATGATGCATACACTGACACCATCCAGACAACAATGGCGTTATTCTTCCAAGGGAACAATTGGACGTGTCATTAATAGAAAGAAGACCATGTACGATGAAGCTTGATGTTAGTATTCTTGCCCAATCTAGCTGGATTCTAGTGCCAGGAAAACCTTTTAGGCTAAAAAGAAGATGCTTCCCCTTTTCCATCAAGTGCTGGGGACCAGACTGCTATTAGTGCCCTCCCTACCATTGCTCCACCATTAGGTCTATCATGTGGTTGACACCCAAGTCAGAAGAATCAAAAAGGTCTGTACAGAAGATACTATTACCAACTGGACTGGCAGAGCCAAGACCTGATGCTGAACCCGAGGTCAAGGCTTCTAGCCAATCAACAGGGTCAAATCCGGCACGCGTCCCACTCCCTTGCCAGGCATCTGGAGGAGATGGCGGCATCTCCAGAGAGTCAGGAAAGAAAACAGAGGACAGCGAATCCAGTGATGCTGATGAAGAGGAGGCTGTCGAAAGGAAATCGTAGGATCCCGGAAAATCAAAGATGGCAGAGGACACCAGCGGTGGCTCATTGCTGGAGCAGGATTTCTTTGATGGTGATGCTTCTTGGTGGACCAATGGGGACAAGGAAACTTGATCAGGAACCTCTGGGGTCAAGGCAGGTGCTTGAAGAATGTCACCTAGATGCCGCAAAACAGATCACACTTTGACATAATAGCTAACTCTAAGCTAAAAAAGAAGAAGCCACAGAACAAGTTTTCATACCAGGATTTTCCCCTGGATCATGTGATTGTGGCCATCTGAGGAGCAACTGTCTCTTTAACCCACCCTTCCCCAAAGTATGGCTCCTGTTGGCTCAAAGCTTTTATTGATCCATTTTTGTTCCTGATAGCTTTTTCTCTTATTCATTCCTCCATGAGCCAGTCCCGATTGCAGTCTGCAAAACAAACGAGAGCCATCTCTCACCTGTACACATCAGGGGTTCTTCTAAAATCTCTTCAATGGATTGGCTTGGCACCAGCTATAGAAAGGGAAGAAAAGAGAGGGTGCCTCAAAGAGTGTCTGTCTCAAGGACAAAGCCAGGACACGTTCTGGCACAATGATCAGTACTGATCTTCCAAAACAATGTTCAAGCCAGTGCAAGGTTTGGTGCTAAAAGCACAGTGGAGGAGATTTAGCAGGTGAAGACTGTTCCTTCTCTCTACAGAAAATGGAAGTACTCTGAAAAAAGTTGAAGGATCCAGAAGATACGGAGCTGACTGTACCTTTGGTTCCACACTGCTATTATTTAAACTGGAATTAAAGAGCCTGGAGACCTTTGGCAATCCAAAGTAGCCATTTCCTCTATGACGGCTTGTGTGCAAAGCAAAATCAGATAGTCTGCAAGAAAGACCAACACGGATGCCCCCCAAATAATACCTGAGCCTTTTGAATGGCCTCTTGGAGCTCTTCCTCCAGGGACCGAGTGGCTGGGGCTGGATCAGGAGGGCTGGCTGTAATCTCGAGGGGCAGCTCCATATCAGAATGGATTGGCTCACATGAGGGGGAGCATAAAACCTAGGAAAAAAGTGGGAGAAATACTAAGAGTTCAACTTGATTTCTTCAGGCAAAAAGCCCCACTGGCTTTAACACTACTCATGAAAAAAAACAACAACAACCCCTCCTCTGGTCTCAAGCTAATGGTTTCATAATGACTCTGGTAAGTGCTAGGTAGAAATGCCTGACGTTGGCCAGGCAGGAGGGTCCTGGAGTCCTGCGTATGGAGGCGACCCTTGGGCTGGAAACAGAGATGACAGGGGGGATGAGGGGCAGATGAGAACACCAAGGTGGGGATGGGTGAGGAGGGGAAGGTATGGTCAGAATCAGTGGATAGACAGTTGCCAAGCAACATGGTCTTGGTGTCTTCCACCAATTCTGCCTTCTGGCTGCCTGTGCTCTGTCCCAATATCCGACCATGGAGCCTTGGGAGCCCTGGATGTCAGTTGTTGCTACTTAATCAATACTGAGTCCTTCTTCAATAAAGCCAGTCTTATGCATGCACGAGTCAATAATGCAGAGGTCTCCAACCTTTTGGGCACAAGGAACCAGTTCCGTGGGGAGAGATTTTTCCATGGACTGGAGTGGGCGTAGTTTAGTGTGCTGCTTGCATCCCACAGATGGGGCTTTGCTTGTGTATGCGGCCCGGTTGCTGGCATGCCGTGGCCAAGTACTGGTCCATTGACCAGGGGTTGGGGACCCCTGTAATAATGGATGAGAGGATCAGCCGGACACATGTAACAGAAACCTGGCTAGGCAAGGCACTTCCTCTTATGGAAATTTGCCCACCTGGGTTTCAGTTGTGCCATGGCTTCAAGATAGGGACTGGAATGACCATTGTAAATACAAAAGACTTGGATTTCAAGTCTTGGATTGTCCTATAGATAGCTGGGTATGAGACTCTTTTTGTGAAGTTGGGCACTGGGGTCAGATGGTTGATATTATGCCATTATCCCTCTTGTGTAGCGCTTTCCCTGTTTGTGCTAAACCTACTCCCATTCTTGCACTGAAAGGTCCTGCTCATGTCACTTGTGTGTTAGTGAATCCTTCTGCAATTCACTCTACTTGGCATTGCTCCTGAACATCTGCAATTGGTTTAACAAACAGCAGCTTGTGGTAGTTATGGATATATATCACATTCCATCCATGTAACATTACTGGCTCACAAGTTACTAATGGGCTTTCTGATGCAATTCAAGGTACTGATTTGTAAAGCCCTGCATGGCAGAAGAGCAGACAATATTTGTGGGGCCCTGTTATCTCTGGTTATGGTGGCCCATCTCTTGGTCTTCCAGACTGAATAAGTTTTAGGTGTCTTTCTGGTATCAGTAATATTTGGTGGGTCCTAGGAAGTATGCCTTATCTCTGGCATCCCCTGCCCTTCGGATTGATTTCTCTCCTGAAATTCAATTGATCCTGAGCCTGTTGACCAATTTTTCCTCTGGGCATTTAGATATCTCTGATCTAGCTGGAGCATGGTGGATTCGATGGCCCACGATATATGTTCTATCTTATCTGTGTTATTATTAATTATTGCCATTTATTGTTTTCATTTTAGGTTAGTTGCCAGGGTCTCTTTGGAGAATTGGGTGGTGTCAGAAAATTTTTGAGGAAGGTTCACTAACATGTGAACTTTTAAATCATCAAGTTAACCTCTCCATGCCATTTTTCCTCAAGGAAATTGCATTTTTCCTCTCCTAGTTGTGAAGCTCTGAAAACAAACAGGCATTTTAACCCTTTCTAGCTTTTCTATTCCTTCATGGTGCAGTAGATCTGAGATGTGGGAATCACAGGTAGAGGAGGAGTGAAAAGACATATGACAGGTAAGCAAGCCAAGCACAAGTCCAAAGGAATACAAAGCAAACAGAAGGCAGATGTGGTTTAATTTTATTAATGCTGGCATCCCAAAGAGACCAACAAGCAACCAATCCCAGAAGTCAGAAGACACTACAAGGTTGGGACCCATCATGGTAACCACTGTATGTCACTATCTGTATGTCACTATCACCCTTTATTAGTCACCTAAGAATAAACTAATACAGTAGTTCTCAACCTGTGGTCTGCGGACCCCTGGGGGGCTGCAATGCCGTTACAGGGGGTCCATGAAGGCTTGAAGAAATGTTATGATTTAAATCTTGAGTTAAGTATTTGTGGTCTGTGGCCACAAGAGATATTTAAAGAGGGTCCGTAGTGAAGAATAGGTTGAGAACCATTGTACTAATAGATATGGGAGCAGAATCCACTTTAAGGGAACTTCTCTTGTATTGATGGGTATGGATCTCTCAAATAGCAGAACTGATTTCTCTTGAGACCTACGTCCTTAAGGCGGCGGAGACTACTCTTGAAGGACATCATCTTAACACTGAACCAAGGGTTTCTAGGACTTCTATACTGAATATCTGGAATCTGGTGTTTTCTCGTCTATGTTGGGTACAAGGGTGAAATTAAGGACATCATTGGATGTCATCTTGGGTGCCTGGGAAGGTGACACTGTGCCACAGAAACTGGGAGCCCAGGTGCCTTGGGGATTTATGGGCAGACACCCCTGAGGGGTAGTTTAACTGCTGGCATAAATGTAAATAGAAGGGGTGGAGTAACAGAACCTGGTTATCAAAGCAAAGTGAAGATGCTCCTGCATTTTGATCCTGACAAGGTCAAACTACACCTGAGGGTGAGAGAGAGAGGATGGCCAAACCGATCCTCCACAAAATTATCCACACCTTAAAGTTATCCAGATTGAGTAGCATTGATAGTTAGAAGAACTTATGACTGTTAATTTGATGTATAATAATTATAAGTTTGCTTTCAGGTCTTCTGTGCTTTTCCTGTTGGTGCTGCAATGTCTGGATAACGACTTTGCTGTCCCTTTTCTAACCTTTCTGTTCTCTAACCATGCAGCCACTCCCTCCCTATCTGCTTAATTGCCCTGACCTCTTTCCTGCTAACAAAGTAATTAACCTCCTTGCCTTAGAGAAGGAAATAGTTAACCTTTTGCTCTCACTAGCCACGTCATTAGTTTCTCCGTATCCATCAATTGACTTCGCACACAATGCGGGGACCAGCAAGTACCTCTCACACATACTTTTACTGATATGAATACACAAATGTTAATTTAATGATTAATTGATCGGGCACTGTTTCTTTTCAGTGGCTGGGGAGGGAGAACTTGAGACTAAGAGATGGGCACTAATGGGCCCTAAATAAAGACAAAAGCCATGATGAATGGCCTCTCCTGTCAATATTGTCACTGAATGGGATGGGAGCTTCCCTATGTAAGTACAGGTAGTTCTCCTTCAGTGACCACAATGCATATCAGCAACTTGATCATTAAATGAAGTGATGGTTACTTTTTCATCACTATCATAACTTCAAATAGTCACTAAATGAGACAGTCATTGAATGAGGACAATCTATTACTTTCATGACTATCACTCTGCTTAATAAACTTGATATTTTACTGTCGTTCTGTTGATCATAATTTGGGTCTCTCACCTGTGATGGGTATTGCCCACAAAAGGTGACCATATATGTTAGATCAGGGATCTTCAAACTTGGCCCTTTTATGACATGTGGACTTCAACTCCCAGAATTCCTCAGCCAGGCACGTAGGCTGAGAAATTCTGGGAATTGAAGTCCACAAATCATAAAAGGGCCAAGTTTGAACACGCCTGAGTTAGATAAATAAAATATGAATAAATAAATAATGTTGAGGACCAGCCCTTAATTTTTTCCCTGCTAAATGACAGAAGTTATGCAAGTAGGGGTTCTCTGTAGCCCTTAATATTTTGCTGCTGTCCTATTCTTGTGCATGTAGTCTTCCACTTATGATCGGTCATGTAACAACCATTCAAGTTATGGCGGGCATCAGTGGGGACACTTATGACCTGATTCAAAGTTCCAGCAACCTGGCTCTTCCCTGCAGTCACATGCCACTTTGGGCACTTGGCAGCTGGCCCGCATTGTATGGTGGTTTGCAGCATACCACCATCACGTGACCACATTTTATGATGGTTTTCTGAAAACCAGCATTTACTTCTGGTTTTGGGCAAACCCCAGCCCATTAAAAAAACCATTGGTTTGCTTAATGACTGCCATATTTGCTTAAAGATCACCACGAAAAAGGCCATAAAGTTGGATTGGTCATGTGGGCGACCCAATTTATGACTGTCACAACTTACGATCATAATGGGTAGGTTCCATTATGGTCACAATTCAAGGCCTACCTGTGCACCTAGAACAGTGGTTCTCAACCTGTGGGTCGGGACCCCATTTGGGGTCGAACGACCATTTCATGGGGGTCGCCAAACAAGGCTGTCCGCCCTTTTCCCTCCTTTTCTTTGACCACGCCCCTGGCATCCGGTGATGTATAAGTGGTTGGGGGTCACCACAACATGGGGAACTGTATTATGGGGTCGCGGCATTAGAAAAGTTGAGAACCACTGACCTAGAAGATTGCTAAGATAATTAGTGGTAGACTACCTTTGTTCCAAACTTTGGTTGGAAGACAGAAATAGCCCAAGGAATAATCTGCTTTATCTGGGCATCAGATACAATGCGTGTATCTGATGTTGCTGATATCCATTATGGTCATTAAAGGAGAATTACTTGTACTTATACTACATAGGGAAGCTCCCATCCCATTCAGCGACAATATTGATAGGAGAGGCCATTCAATGGGTATCCATGGGGGATGGGGAAAGTAATGACAGATGCATCATGATGTCATAACACAGTGATGTGACTTATGTGGTCTGCATCACTTGCACACTGATATCCAAGCAAACAAGGCCCTAGCATAGCTTCTTATGAATACCTGCGAGCATCAGATCAACACAGATTTCCACAATGTGATTATTCAGCTAAGGTTAATTTATTTAGTAATAAGTTAAAATGAAATAGCCTTCCCCAGTTAGGGACCTCTTGGAATCTATGGAGCTACATGGAAATAAAATTTACCTTGAGAAAATGGTTTTATTTGAGAGGATAGAAATGGCAGCATGCACAAATTGAAATTCATCTGTCTGCTGACTTAGATGTACAAAATATTTTGTGTTACATCTGCTTACGTAATTTAATTTTCTTATTAAATAGCAAACACAAGAGTCCCCCAAGAAATGTTCAATCAACACTTTAATTCCCAGGGTATGCTGGCTAGCAGCCAAAATCCAAAATATCTTGGAAAGGGGGCACCAATTTACAGAAGGCTGCATTTCTAGGAGTCGGAGTAAAGCAGATGAGTCAGGCAAACAGTCATACGGGAAAGCAAAAAGCATCTAGCACTTTTCAGCTCAGAGGAAAGATGAGTCCTGGAGATTCTTCCAGGGGAACCTTGGGGGAATCAAACAAGCCAAGATCAAGACTACATGATGCCCTGTCCCCAACTCATTTTTATATGCACATATCAAAAAAGGTCGAGGGTTCAGTTATATTGTCATGGCTGCCATCTTACTTATTATTTATTATTTTTATTAAATTTAGAAGCTGTGATGGCGCAGTGGTTAGAATGCAGTATTGCAGGCTAACTCTGCATTCCACTGCCAGCAGTTCGATCCTAACTGGCTCAAGGTTGACTTAGCCTTCCATCCTTCTGAGGTCAGTAAATGAGGGCTCAGATTGTTAGCGCCAATATGCTGACTCTGTAAACCGCTTAAAGAGGGCTATAAAGCAGGGTTGGAGAGGATTAATATCATACCCTGATTCTGGGATCTCAGGAAGCTTCACTCTCATTAGAAGCAGGCTCCTGATCTGCAGACTCCCATTGATATTTGTAGGCTTGTATAACCCTTCATCCTATTAGTATTGTTTTCCAAGATTTTCTTTGACCCATTAGATTGCTATCCCTTTTACAAGCAACCCCCATTGTCTTATCATGTGGTTCCTTTTCAGGCTAGCCAAGGAAAGCTGACTTGCTTACCATGAACTCGTCTTCCATGCCCCCTCCCTCCTTGGCGCACTCTCTCTTGGGGATGTAAGGAGGGGGCGGAGCTTCCTGACGGCCAGGTGACTGCAGCGCTCCCTTGCGGCGATTCTTGATCTGCTTGTGAACCTCCAGCTCCTCATGGGGGTCGCTGTCGTGGTGCTTCAGCTCTCGGTGGAGCTTTAACGCCAGATTCTCCACTACCCGCTGCTTCTCCTGCAGGGCCTGAGGCTCTTCTTCTAACTCAGAAGGTGCTAAGCGGGCACTGGGGAGTGGGGCAGGTGGGGGCTTTACCCGGGCCACCTGGTAAGGCTTGAGGCGTTCCAGCAGGGCTGGCTTGGTGCCCGAAACAGGGAGGCCCCGCTTACGGAGCTGCTGGCGGAGTTCAGAGACCTGAGAAGCAAAATTATGGTCACAGGTAAGGAAAGGGGAGAAAGAGGTGGTAGATTACAGGTAGTCCTCAACTTACAATTCATTCGGTGACTGTTTGAAGTTACAACGGCACTGAAAAGGTGATTTATGACAGGTGCTTACACTTACAATCGTTGCAAGGATCCCCATGGTCACATGATCAAAACTCAGGCAGCTGGCAACTGGCATGTATTTATGACAGTTGCAGTCTCCCAGGATTATGTGATCACCATGAGTAACCTTCTAAGCTGGCTTCTGATAAACAAAGTTAATGGGAGAAACCAGATTCGCTTAACGGCCACATGTCACTTAACAACTCCAGTGATTTGCTTATCCACAAAAGGTGAAAAGGTTATAAAATTGCAGCATGTCTTCCTTAACAACTGTCTTGCTTAGCAACAGAAATGTTGGGCTCAACTGTGATCTTAAGTTGAGGACTATCTACATCAGAGGTCTTCAAACTTGGCCCTTTTATGACTTGTGGACTTCAAGTCCACTGGCTGAGGAATTCTGGGAGTTGAAGTCCACAAATCATAAAAGGGCCAAGTTTGAAGACCCCTGATCTATATTAACCAAACACGCAGAGAACAGGTTACAGGTGGTTCTTGACTTATGACTAGTCACCTCACAACTGTTTGAAATTACAGAGCATCCCAAAAAGATATTTATGACCAGATTCAAAATTCTGATGGCTGCTCCCCTCTTCAGTCCCTTTTGGGTGGCTTGGCAATCATCCCACATTTATGGCTGCTTGCAGTATCTTTATGACATTTTTTTTGCTGGAAATCAGTGTTTACCTCTGGTTTCTGGCAAAAAAAAAAATATCCACTGGGGACAATGGATTCACTTAACAACTACAGCAGTCGCTTAATGACCACCATAAAAAAGATTGTAAAATTGGGTGTGGTCACGTGACGACCCACTTATCAATCAGCATGACTTGCAATCATAATTCTGGGCTCAGTTACAGACATAAGTCGAGGACTATCTGTGTTGAGGGTTTGTTTCATGCATCGGTATTTCACTTTTCAGTTAAAAACTTTCTGCAGAGCAAAACTGAATGTCCTGGCATAGAAAGAAAAGGCATTAGAGGAGTGAGAAGCCAAAGAGAAGCACTGGTGCTTGATGGCAGAGTTATGTTTTTCATGTGCTTCCTATTTCCATGAGTAGTGAAAAAAAATATCCCAGATTTGATTCTTTGGAGGAGAGAGGACAAACTCTGGAAGTTTCTAAGAAAAGGCTGGACTGTCACCTCTCAAAGATGGGCTTAACTGATTTTCCTCCACATTGCTGAGGTTTGGAATACAGGACCTTGTGACTCTTTCCCACTCCACAATTCTATGATTATGGGACCTCTACAAGGCCAGCAGAGCAAAAGTGAGCAGGCAGGACCGTTTTGAGGGAAGTGTGATAGAAATCTGTGGGCAGGCTGCACTTAGGGACTTCAGGCCCGATGTTTGAAAGTGCTCCCACTGCCACAGTGTCCTTGGTTTCTGCCTTCAGTGTCTGGCTGTCAGATCCTCAACAGTCCCGGACTTCAGCTGTTGTTAATAGAATAGCAGGCCTGCATGTAACAAAGCCTCCCATTATTCACAAACTTATCTTGGAGGAGGTTGTGCACCGGCTGAGACCCCAGGGGAGAGGAGGAGTGATGGCTATTGTCATCCATGAATTGTTAGGCTTTCAGAGGCTCCTTTTAGCAGATAACCAGATATGAGGTGCTCTGGCTGAAGTTAGGCTTAAGGGAACAGTTGGAATCACCGCTGGTGTACCAGCCTTCCTGTCCCTCAGCTGGATTTTGTGGCCTGGTTGATAATAGTGACTTTTTGAAGTTACAACAGTGCTGATAAAAGTCCGGTCCTCACACTTGTGACTGTTGCACCATTCCCACAGTCATATGTTCACAATATGGGTGCTTAGCAACCAGCTTGCATTTACGACTGGTTGCAGTGCCCTGCAGTCGTGCATTTTTTTCTGCTAATTTCCAACATAAAATGCTCATTTGGAAAAATGGATTCTCACTTAAAACTACCGTGTTCACTTAACAACCATGGATTCGCTTAACAGTTGTGGTGATTCATTTAATGACTATCGGAAAAATGATTAGAAAATCAGGTCTGACTAGACTTGCAATTTAAGACAGAAATTCTGGTCCCAATTATTATTGTAAGTCGAGGACAATCTGTTTTCTGCTTTGGGATTTCAATTTGCCACCTGGTGATACCGAGTCCACAGGAGACTGTGGCATTTGTGGTGGCCATGGAATTACCTCAGTCACTGATGGTCTGAGACATGTCTGTTGGACATTTCTATTGTAGGAAGACCCCCCCCAGCACTTTCACATTGCTGCCTGAAATCTAGCTGGTACATGCATGTTTAACTGATATACACTGACACACAAAAAATGTGGACTCTGATCTTTTACAAAGAGCTGAGTTATGGGTTATGCTTCATGTAAGCATAGCTGGAATACCCAGTTTGGTGAATTTTCCAATCTCTTCCTGATTATGTCTCAAAGCCGTCAGTCTTGTCATGGATCCCTTTCCTTTCTCAGGGGGTCCTGAGGAGGCCAAATTCATCTCCCTGGCTTGCTTTTTCTCAGAAATCAGGCAGGCAATGATATGATAACTGTGACTGGAAAATGTACTCAATGCAGGGAAAAGACAGATGGGCTGTACAACATTATCTTGAACATGACTAAGCAAAATGGATTGGTTGCATTGGTTTACTCCTTGGTTCCCTATTATCACCTAACCTCTTCTCCTCATAAGACATGTTTATTTATTTATTAGATTTTGATACACCTTTATTGTTATAAACAACAAGGCAGCGAACATATCTAATACTCCTTCCTCCTCCTATTTTCTCCACAACAACCAGGTAGGTTGGGCTGAAAGTGACTGGCCCAAGGTCACCAACTGGTTTTCATGTCTATGGCAGGACTGAAACTCATAGTCTCCTGGTGATTGGCCCAAAGTCACCCAATTGGGACTGGAATTCACAATACTTAATCAATACTTTGCCAGTAATTGGCCTAACATCGTGTTAGGAGACTTGAGCTGATAAACCCCCAAACCTACCGTGAGCTCTTCTAAGTTGGCAGGTAACAGTTCTGGTTTTGGTGGCAAAGGGGAGATTGGGGTAGCTGGAGAAGGAAGAGGGAGTGTTGGAGGCCCATTTGTGGAAGCTGGAGTACCAGGGAAATTCAAAAGTTGCTCAGGAGCATTGCTGGGTTAAAGAGAGAGAGAGGCAGAGAAAGAAAATAAATAAGGGATTATTGCTCTTGGACAGCTTTGCCTCAGACTATAAAAATAAAATGATATTAGTCCATGTGACAAAGGCCTAAATTTGTTGAAAGTTGGGCAGCATACAAGTTTAACAAATTATTATTATTATGTGGAGTAGTTTAAACTGGGAGCTGTAGGTTTAAGTTTCCGCTTAGTAAAGAAACCGAATCGCTGCTTTTAAATCAATCAATGGCTCCCCACCAAAGTCCCTCACAACATTATTGAGTAGAATAAATGTGGAGGAGGAAAGCCAGCTATTCTTTCCTAGGCTCTTCAAAGAAAGAATAAAAGAGAATTCTATAAAGATAAATAATACAATTCACCAAACCAGCCCAAAGCTAGCCTTCAACAGTTCTTAAGACAGACAAGAAACTAATTAAGGCTAGATGTGGCAGAAGAAACTAATTAAGGCTAGTCGAAGAGCTCCAGAATAAGGGGCGGGAGGATAATGACATACTGTATTACATGTGTGCAAATATGAACAGTATTTTATTATAACACATGTGGTCGTAACTTGAGGACAACCTGTAATGCATTCAGTGTATTCATTTAATACTATATATTTATATATTGTCAATCTACGCAAGTTGTTTCTAGAATTCGTGGATAGGTATTCAGTTTATGCTAATCACAATTAAGTCCCATTGCAACTATTGGGACTTGTGGTGAATTAACCATGACTAATTTCAGCAGATGCTTCTCTTGAGTAACTAATTCTGAATTCTGGTACTTAATAAAAACAGTCAGTTAATTTAACATTGCTTTTTACACTTCTGGGGTATCTTCCCTAAAGCCAAAAAGTCAAAGAAATAAAAATAGCAGTATGTTCCTTGCTTAATTGGAAAGCAACACACACTTTAATCTTAATTGGAGAGCAATTCCTTAAAGTAGAGAATAAGTGACAAGTCTCTGGGGATCTTAGCAAAAAGAAATATAAATGTTTTAGCAGCACCCAACAGCGAGCTGTGCCATGAGTCAAGAGTGAGCCCTCTGCAAACAGGGCATTATCTGCAAGATGGCAAGTAAGATCAAAAAAGTCAAGACAAGTACAGTCTGTAACTGAATGGTGTTGGCCACCCTGTTCATTTCTTTATTTTGTATAGCTGCCCATCTCAAACTGCAATTCTGAGCAAGACACAATCATAAAACATTTTACCAATTAACTATGACAAATTAAAGACAAAAAACGTCAGTTTACAGCCATTCATTTAGTGACAGTTCAAAGTCACAACAGCATCGAAAATAGTGACTTGCAACTGGTCCTTGCACTTATGGCTATCGCAGCATCCTCTTGGTCATGTAATCAGAATTCAGGCACTTGGCAACCGGCAGATAATGACGACACTTCGAATGTTCTGGGATCCTGGGATCGCCATTTGCAACCTTCCCAGCCGGCTTTCAACAAGCAAAGTCAATTGCGGGGGGGAAACCAGATTTGCTTGATGGCTGTGTCATTCACTTAACAACTGCAGTGATTTGCTTAACAACCATGGTCGCAAAGGTCATAGAATTGGGCGTGACTCACTAACAAACCACCTTGCTCAGCAACAGAAATGCTGGTCCCAAATGTGGTCATACGTTGAGAACTACCTGTAGCCTCCAAGAAATATGTAATCTAAAGGTGTTGACACAGCCAGGTAAGGGGCCCCTCACCACCCCTGGGCACATAACCAGGTCTTCTGAAAGACCAACGGGGGAGATCCTAATTTCAGGGAGGAAAAAAATTCCAACGGACGGTCACAAGGGCAGAAAAGGAATGTCTCCTCTTGACTTTTTGGATTTCCCTTGCAGAAGACCCTGCCTGCAAACCATACCTGTGGTATTCTCAGGGCAAAGCTAAGAGTTACCTGGCGGGGACTGCATGGAGAGCCTGAACGCAGAAGGTTGCTGGGGATGTGGGCATGGGCTGCTGCTGCTGATTCAAGATCTGGAGCTGCAGAAAAACCTGCTGTTGCTGCAGGAGGTGGGCGTAGGCGGCGTCCATGGGCAAGGGAGTCTGCTCCCCCTTCTGATCGGGAGGCATGTACTGGTGGTACTTCAGTTTCTTGACTTTGGGCCGGGACTCCTTGGCCTTTTTGGGTCGAGGGGCCTTCCTGACCTCAGGAACTTTGTGGAGGACCTAAAGAGTGGAAGTGAAAAAGGAAGCAAAGATGGCACAGAGGGTCTGTGGAACAGAGCAAGGAGAAGAAAAAAGAGAGAGAGACTCTAGGGCAGTGTTTCTCAATCTTGGCACTTTTAAGGTGTGTGGATTTCAACTCCCTTCCACTTGCACTTGATGCAAGATTGTATAAAGGGAAATTGCAATATTTAGTGCAGTGGAAGGGATATCCATCATCAGAAGCCACCTGGGTGAAGTGTACTGATGTGAAAGCTGACAGACTTATACGTAAATTTTATGATAAACATCCAAACAAACCGAGGGGGGATTCTTAACTTTTGTTCTTGTTTGATTTGCAGGATTTCTCCTTTCTTTTAAGGGGAGCCGAATGTCAACGCTGTGACAAATCGAACTGAAGCCATTTTCTCTTTGTCTTCGTTGCCCCATTTTAGTTTAGAGATATTAATTAGATGAAGGAAGAGGGCAGGGGACGCATAGTTCTCAGTTAGCCAAAACAATTCATATGTGTGAGAATCAAGGTCACTGCTGATAACGTTTTGGCGGGCTGGAGAGCTGGGAGGAGAGCCCGCCTTTTGTAACAAGGCTGGCTGGGGAATTCTGGGAGTTGAAGTCTATACACATTAAAGGTATCACGGTTGAGAAACACTGGTCTACTCTAGATGATGGGTAGAAATTATATCTTCCTTTTTTACATATAATAGTTCATATGTTTGTGTTTATGCTTTCTGTGCTTTTCTTGCTGAAAAGCTTCAATAATGACCTTGCTTTCCCTTTTCTAACCTTTCAGCTCCCTAATAATGTAGCCACTCCCACTCCATCCATTTAATTACCTGATTTCTTTTGGTCATAAGTCAAGGACTACCTGTATTGAAGATAATACAGGTACACCTTTCCTGAGGCCCAGCATCCTTAAGTAGACTTCTCCTCATAACATAGTAACCTCTCAGGTGCACGTCTACTACTTAGTGAAATTGGAAATACACAGAAAATAAATTTTGGGGAAATTTGACTTGATTAGTGGAATACTGCAATCAATTTTGGCCACCACGCTACAAAAAAGATGTTGAGAGTTTGGGAAAAAATCAGAGAAGAGCACTAAGATGATCCAAGGCCTGGAGACTAAAACATATGAAGAACAGTTGCAGGATTTGGGTTTGGCTAGTCAAGAGAAAAGAAGAACTAGGGGTGACATGATAGCAGTATTCCAATATTTGAGGGGCTGCCACAAAGAAAAGGGGGTCAAATTATTCTCCAAAGCACCAGAGGGAAGGACGAGAAACAATGGTTGGAAACTAATCAAGAAGAGAAACAACATGGAATTAAGGAGAAATTTCCTAACAATTAACCAATGGAACAGCTTGCCTTCAGAAATCATAAGCGCTTCATCACTGGAGATTTTTAAGGAGAGACTGGACAGCTTACTTGTCTGAAATGGTATAGGATCTCCTACTTGAGCAGGGAGCTGGACGACCCCAAGGTTCCTTCCAGCTCTATCCTATCCTATCCTATCCTATCCTATCCTATCCTATCCTATCCTATCCTGTCCTGTCCTGTCCTGTCCTGTCCTGTCCTATCCTATCCTATGCCAGGGCGTGGTTCTTAGGGCATTTACAATATTGTAATAGCACATTCTGATGAGTCTCAGTTTTTTAATGTTTAAACTTCTCCATTCACTCCTCTGAGTGTGGAAAGCCGGGGTATACTTTGAAATAAATAAATAATACATGTGCCTAATGCAAACAGGAAAACTTCAGCAAACGAAGCCTCAGCATCTCTCCTTGACTGTCCTTGCATAATGGAGGAGGTTTCAGATGCTGAATGTGTGACTCTTGTGCAGCAGGATCAAGAGGAGGGAAGGGGACGGAAAGATAACAACTTCCTAGCAGGAGTGCAAATCCTGAGGCACCCCAGATGTTGTTTTTATCATCTTTGAAAATTGATCATGCTGCCTGGATTTGCCAGGAACTGCAGCCCAGCAGTATCTATGACTTATTCAGCAAACCATATTTTTTTAAAAATGGAATGGAAAATTCAGGACAAAACTGGCTTACAAAGGCTGGAGAAACTTTAGTTAATGTAGTGTTTTGCAATTTGGAATGAACACTGGGTTACCTTTTATTTTCTGACTATATTCAGCTGACAAGAGAGGACACTTAGGGCAGAATCAGCACAAAATCGTCTCTTCTCCTCCTTTCCTTTCCTTTCCTTTCCTTTCCTTTCCTTTCCTTTCCTTTCCTTTCCTTTCCTTTCCTTTCCTTTCCTTTCCTTTCCTTTCCTTTCCTGTAATTGATTTGCAGAGGTTGTCAGAATTAGTGGTATTCCTCCCTGTGGCTACTCATAGCTAGCAGCTGCTGTGCTACCCTTTACAAAAAGCCCTTCTCTATAATAATTCATGCAGAGAGGACTAAAAAAAAATATGCCAGCTAAAAATCAGTACATATTGACACCACAAACTAAAATTAGTTCAATTTTACCCACATTTGCCCAATATTTTGCTGCCTGCAAATAAGGCAGGAACACCAGGGGAAGGAGAATGTACAGCTTTCCCTCCACAGGGAGATTAAAAAAATTAAGATGAAGCATCTTTGATGGAGCAGTTGCGGTCAGCATTTTGACATCTATCTATTTATCTATCTATCTATCTATTTATCTATCTATCTATCTATCTATCTATCTATCTATCTATCTATTTATCTATCCATCCATCCATCCATCCATCCATCTATCTATCTCTACCTACCTATCTGATTATCTGTCTATCTATCTATCTATCTATCTATCTATCTATCTATCTATCTATCTATCTATCTATCTATCTATCTATCTATCTATCTCTGCCCGTCCATCCATCTTCTATCATTTAGCTATGTTTCTAATATGCTTTCTATCTCAGTATCCAAAGGGACTCTCACAATGCAAGAAATATTATATTAAATTACAAAAATATTAAGACAAGGATTTAAAAAAAAATCAGATAAAATGTGACCCCTTCCCGCAGATACACATGATTGCAACAGCCGCGTATCTCCTGGCAGGACCCTAGAGCGCATCCATGGCTGAGCCTTGCCAAATCATGCCAGCAAACCATGGTTGATCTCTTTCTCTGTTAAAAATGGTGGAAAAGTCTTTCTTCAGCAATGTTCCCACTGGGCTCTCCTCTGCCAATGACCCAGGCCTACCTTTGGGAGTGAAATTGCGGGCTTGATGAGGATGTTTCTCCCTTGGAGAGAGAACTCAGCATCAGAGGTAGACGAAGTGACAGCAGGCTGTTGATCCACCGGGACTGGGGGCAGGTCCAGCTGCAGGAAGAAAGATAAAACTCAAGAATGGCGGCTCTTACGTATACAGTACTGAGTTTTCCACCTTGACCTTGTTCTTTAAACTGTGGTTTGGGGAGTAAGCCATAATAAGACAAGTATAGAAAGTGGAAAGTGGAAAGAGGGGCACATAACTAAGTCAGAATATCAGCAAATAGCCCGAGCCTCCAAAATGAACTAAGGCTTGCGCCCAAAGTCAAAAATAACAAAAAAAAGCTTCTTTCAATATGTAAAAAACAAGAAAAAAGTGAGGGAAATGATTGGTCCGTTAGTGGGTGAAAGTGGCAAGGTGACAAGCAACAGGGAGAAAGCAGAACTATTTAACTCATTTTTTGCATCTGTCTTTACATAAAGGGAAAAAACAGACCAACCTATCAAAAATAGTGCTATAAAAAACAGAATAAAAACACAAGTTAAGATAGGCAAGAAAATGGTAAGTGAGCACCTGTCCAGGCTAGACAAATTCAAATCGCCAGGACCAGATGGATTACACCCCAAGGTTCTCAAGGAACTAGCAGATGTGATCTCAGAACCACTGAACTATATTTTTCAAAGATCCTGGAGCACAGGGGAACTACCAGAGGACTGGAAAAGAACTGATGTAATTCCATCTACAAAAAAGGAAAAAAAAATGGACCCAGGAAATTATAGACCTATCAGCCTGAACTCAATACCTGGGAAGATCCTGGAAAAGATAATCAAACAATGAATCAGCGAACACCTAGAGGCAAACAAAGTCATTACTAAAAGCCAACATGGGTTTGTCAAAAATAAATCATGCCAGACAAATCTTATTGCATTCTTTGACCAAGTGACAAAATTAGTAGATCAGAGGAATGCTGTGGACATAATTTACTTGGACTTCAGTACGGCATTTGATAAAGTAGATCACAACCTACTACTTGACAAGATAGAAAAATGTGGGGTAGACAGCACCACCACCAGATGGATCCGTAGCTGCCTCCAGAAGTGGTGAATGCTCCAACACTGGAGGTTTTTAAGAAGAGACTGGGCAGCCATTTGTCTGAAATGGTATAGGGTTTCCTACCTAAGCAGGGGGTTGCACTAGATGACCTTCCAACTTTACTATTATTATTATTATTATTATTATTATTATTATTATTATTATTGCATTCATATAAAGTAAGAATCCAACAGAGCCCATGTTGGAACCCATTACTCTCAGATTCCTAAATTCACTAATTGCTATTATTTCATGCCAAGGACATATGACAGTTTAAGAAGGTGAGCATCATGGATAATCAAAGAAAATGGCTGCCATGGGGTGGATGCACATTCACAGAATAGCTGCGCCTATGGGTATCATGATGAATAGAACCCATTTTTATTTTGTAATACATTTGTACATAGAATTCAAAAAAAGTTCCTGGAAAGTAAGTTGATTTTCAACACCAATACTTTCTTTTGCAGCTTGCCAAATTCTTTTATAACTTGGTTTAAAATTTAAATATGTTAAATATAAAGATTACAGGTAATCTTCAACCTGTAATCCTTTATTACAACTGTAACAGAGCCCGGAAATATGGCCATAAACCATACTCATTGTTAAACAAGCCATCATGTGACTGACCCAAATGTATGACTTTTTTGCAGCAATTGTTAAGCAAATCTGCAATCATTAAATGAACCGCCTGGTCATTAGGCAAACTTGTTGTTTGAAATTGATGTTTTTTGTTGGAAACCAGAAGCAAAGGCCTGTTTCTGGCAAACACTATAGTACATTGTGATCACTTGACCTCAGGATGCTGCAAATGGCCATAAATGCGGTCTGGTGATCCCCTCACCAGGGGGTGGGGCAGCTGTTGAAACTGAATCCGGGTTGTAAGTACCTTTTTGGGGGGACCATTGCAAATTTCGTGGTTGCTAGGTAACTAGTTATAAGTCGAGGCCTACCTATATAGATGAGGGCAGGGAATATCAAGGAGGCATTTGTTGCATTGGGGACCTCAGCTAGGAGTTCAACAATATTTCAAAGTGTCCTGCAGAGGGCAGCAGTACCACACAGGCAGGCTTGCAGGCTGGCAGACACACACACACACACACACACACACAGACACACAAACACACCAAACACTAATGTATTCTTCAATGCTACAGGTCCCTTTCCTGGCTTTTAATAAAACTTGATTTCCATTACAGTATTTAAGTTGAAGTTGAGGGTAAGAGTAAACTGACTACTTGAGAGCTTCCCTCTCTCAAATACTTTCTGCCTGGCCTGTCCTCTAGGATCGCATCCTTCTAGAGATCCCTCTGGCCCCTCCCTGACTTTGTTTGGAAAGTCTTAATAAATTGGCTTTGCCCCCAGGTTAGGCTCTTATTTCATTTTATATGAATTTTCTCCCCTCTTCTTTTCTTTGTTACTCTGTTTTTTTCTTGCTTTTAATACTGGATGCTGCCCGGAATCTTCATTTATAAATTTTACCCAAGAAAATAAAGCAAAACGTCTTCTACTTGAACAAAAACCATAAGGCCTTTCTGACAACTGAGCCCGGCCACTGCATTTCTAAGCCAATTTCTTTATTTCTTTATTTTATTTATTTATGAGACTTATATACCGCTTTATGTGCAAACACTCTCTAAGCGGTGTACACCAGTAAGCAATGTATATATATATTTACATTGCCCCCAACAATCTGGGTCCTCATTTTACCTACCCCGGAAGGATGGAAGGCTGAGTCAATCTTGAGCCGGTGAGATTTGAACCGCTGACCTGCTGAACACAGTCAGCTAAAGTGGCCTGCAGTACTTAGAGTGACAGCCCCAAGATTAAAAAATATGAATAAATAAAAAAATGGAGAAATGTTGAGGAATTTGTATCCAGGTCCTTGGAAGTAAGCCATGAACTTTAGGAGCCATTTTTTTTTTCATGATATACAGAAAGCAGAAGCATAACAACCGACTGACACTCAGCATTCTAATATTTTACACTGCTCTCTTTTATTTATACAGGGCAGATAGTCCTCAATTTGCAACCGTTTGTTTAGCAACCATTTCAAGTTACAACAGCACTGAAAAAAGCGACTTACGACTGGTCTCGCATTTACGACTATCACAGCATCCTCAGTCACATGATCAAAATTTGGATGTTTGACAACCGGCATGTATTTACAACTGATGCAGCATCCCAGGGTCATGTGATCGCCATTTGCAACTTTCCTTGCCTGCTTCTGACCAGCAAAGTCAATGGGGGAACCTGGATTCGCCTAACAACAGTTTGATTCAGTGTGATTCACTTAACAACCATGGCAAAAAAAGGTCTTCAAATCAGGTGCAACTCATTTAACAATTGCGTTGCATAGCAACAGAAACTCTGGTCCAATTGTGCTCCGAGGTTATGGATTACCTGTATTCAATAAAAAATCATGAGAAATTGCAGCTGAATTGAGCATTTTCACCAGGATGTTAGATCATTCTATTTCCAGTCTTCAGACTGTCAGTGTCTTTGCTTACAGGCATTAAGAGCAACAGCAGCATAGCGCATAAAAGATGTCAGGCTAGTTTGGGTAGAATGCAAGATTTACTTCTTCTTTTTAATGGTAAAAAAAAATCCCATGCTAAACAGTGAGATTATTCCAATTCATAGGATGCAGAGTCTGAAATGGTGTTGGGAAACCGCCAGAAAAATTTATTAGAAATAGAATGTCACAGCCTGAATAGAAAGCTCTACATACTGCAACATTTTGTGGTAGAGGCGCACCTGCGGTGCGCCATCTGGATTTCAATCATTTGTATTAATGTCAGAGGCCACAAAGGCTATCACACAGTTTGTCTTCTCCCCATATCACATTGCATTTATCTTCTTCCCCATAATTTGAAGCCTGGCTGTTTAATAAAGGTGAAGGTCAGAAAAGCCCTCCCATGAATCACACTTGCTAAAATGGGTTGTACTAGTTACACTATCACTATTTTGGTTCATTGAAAAAAAAAAAGAAGGGGGAAAGGAAGGGGGGGGGGGGAGAAGGGAAGGAGGGAGGGAGGGAGGGAAGGAAGGGAGAGAGGAAGATAGAAAAGGTGGAGTTCTAGTCTTGCCTTAGACATGAAAGCCATCTGGATGACTTTGTTGCAATCCATCAGAAGACTATGAGTTCTAGTCATGCCTTAGGCATGAAAGCCAGTTGGGTGACTTTGGCCCAGTCCCCCCTCTCTCAGCCCAACCTACCTCACAGGACTGTTGTTATGGGGAAAATAGCAGGAGGAAAGTGTATTAGGTCCATTTGCCACCTTAAATTATATATAAAAAATAAATTTTAATAAATTTTAAAATAAATAATATATTTGGGGGGATATGGAGCAACAATTTTCGCTGGAGGCAGAAATAAAGACCCTTCTCTAGGCTCTATAAATGAACAAGTCATATATAAGGAAGTCATATATGTCAGGAGATTCTAGGGGGGAAATGGGTAGCTATATAAAGCAAAAGCATCCATTAAAGTAGTGTTTCTCAAAATCTCAGAGCCCAGAAGTTGTGTGGACTTCAACACACAGAATTCCCTAGCCAGCATATTGGTACCTATTTCTGTGGGACAAATCCAACGATTATTGCTGGAAAAACTTTTCTGTTTAGGTGTTGACCTCCTCTGTTCGCTGAACACAGAACGGCTAATTCTACAGCAGTTCCTGTTTTGTGAAAATCTTGCCATTTATACCTGGCACTTTCCTACTGATGTTCTGCCAAGCTATTAAAACGGGATAGCTTAACTGATTCTGAATGTGATTATGGGATTCTTACAGTGACCAGCCTGTAGCTTTATTTTTGTTAAGAAGTTGCTGCTGCCTGTGGTTCTTATTATTAAATTTTGGTTATCTGTTTGGAAATGGATATAATCTTATCAGCAGAAACCATTTGGAACAGCTGGCAATATATATGCGTATATATGTATGTGTGTATAAGTGTGGATCTGTTTGTGTTATATTTTATTACAAAAATATAATCTCTTTTATAGAGGTATTAGAAATAGCTATAGTGCACCTCTTTTAATGGACACCTCAGGATATGATAGTTATTTTTATCTTCAAGTACTACTGGCTGATCAGTTCTGTTACATTGCATCAAGATTCAAAGTTCAGTTCACACCCAACAATATCAATTCTTGCTCCTGGACAAGAATTTTAAGGTTGGGGGTTTAGTTGCTTATGATTTTTACGGTGTAAGACATAATATGGATTCTTAATTCTATTGGCCTCAGACAGCATGGAAGATAGAAGCTGGGGTCCCATCAAGGCATCATCCTGGCTTGTAATTTCATGCTGGTACACTTTACCCAGTGTTTCACAACCTCAGCAACTTTAAAACATGTGGACTTCAAGTTCCAGAATTCCCCAGCTGGCATGAAGTTCACATATCTCAAAGTTGCCAAAGTTGAGAAACATTACTTTTAGTCAGTTCCTCCAAATAGCAAGGAGCTTCCCACTGTATCTTGGAGAATTTCCCTTTTCATCAAACAGTACTTTGACAACCCACACAAAGACACACACAGAGATAAGTCTATATAGAAGTTGCTTACTTGAAAAACTGCTTCTGATGTGGAAGGATTTCCTTGGCCACTTCCTGGAGACAATGCGAAACATGGGGAGGAAGAGGAAGAGGAACTGCTAAGATCTTCTTCAACGTTGAAGGAATCAGGGGCTCCACAATGAGCTGCATCTGAACGTGTTGTTGGGGGGGAAAGAGGCTGAAAGTCAGACTGAGTTACTTGGGACTCACAGTAGAGTGAAAGGATAATGCTATCCTGTTCCTTTTTTATCTCATTCGATATAAAATTATCTTATATTGAGCTTGATTGATTGATTCATCTACCTCATAAAAATCTAATCAATTTCTGTTCTTGGAGAGCTCACAGTCATCAAAGCTCATTTTGGGCCAGAGGAGAAGAAGTCCTTGATTTATGACCACAATTGACACCAGAATTTTTGTTGCAGTTGTTAAGTGAATTGTGCCCAACTGCATGAACTTATTTTTGCCATGGTTGTTAAGCAAATCACTGAAGTTGTAAAGTGAATCCTGTGTTTGTTAAATAAATCCAGCTTCCCCTATTGCAGGGGTAGGCAACCTTGGCTCTTTTATGACTCGTGAACATAGCTGGCTCAGGAATTCTGGGAGTTGAAGTCCACGAGTCATAAAAGAGCCAAGGTTGCCTACCCCTGCCCTATTGATTTTGATTGCTGGAAGCCAGCTGGGAAGGTCGCAAGTGGTGGTCCCACGCCCCAGGGATGCTATCACCCTTGTTAATACACGCTAGTTGCCAACCACCCAAACTTTGATCACATGATGCTGTGAGTTGTAAGTGCAAGGACTAGTCATAAATCACTTTTTTTCAGTGCTGTTCCAACTTCAAATGGTTGCTAAATGAATGGTTGTAAGCTAAGGACTATCTGTAACCGAGACTCATTGGTACATTTGAAGCTTTCTTCAATCAAAGATTATAGTTCCAGACATCTCACATCTTTATATCCCTTGTTTTTACCATTTTAAATATGCTTTTTCCCAAACAACTGAGAGCAGCTACGAAAGAAAGAAGCTTGAATGAGGCTGTGTCCTCTCCCCCTCCTGAAACGCTCTTAACCATGTCATTACCTGCCACAACATCCTTGATACCAGGATCCAAGGGGAGAATATTTTTCTTCACCAACTCAAGCGGCCCAGGACGGTGCAAGATCTTCTCGCTCAAGTCTTCGGCCAAGCGAGCCTTCTTTTCCTGCAGCTCGGAACGGTCCCCTCGAGACACTGAAATGGAGGACCAGAGGGAATTCATCATTCGAGGAAAGCAAATGAAATGAAATAAGAACAACCTGGCCAGATCAGAGGGGAGTTTTACCTCATGTAGAAGCCTGCATCCACAACAAGATGAGCATCAATAGTTACAAAGGGTTTAATCATCCCCTGGGGCAGTGATGGCGAACCTTTTAGAAACCGAGTGCCCACAAACCGGCCTGCCCCCGCTCCGCCCGCCCGCAGGGCCACTCACCACAGATTGCCCAGGCAGCCTTGCAGCACCATGGCAGCACGCCCTCCGCCCGCAGCATCATCTGTACATGATGGGGCGCAAGGGTGGAGTCTTGCCCCTGCTGCCCAGCTGCCATGTGCTTGGCTGCGCTGCTCTGCGTGGGCCACATGTGGGGGCGCCTCTCCTCCAAGCAGGCTGCTGGTGAGGAGGGGGTTGCGAGGGGAGGCGGGGCTGGGGCAATGGCGCACGTGTCCACAGAGAGGGCTCTGAGTGCCACCTCTGGCACCGTGCCATAGGTTCACCACCACTGCCCTGGGGATTATTCTGAGTACAGGTAGTCCTTGACTTAACAACCATTAGTTTAGTAACCAAAGTGACAATGCAAGTGAAAAAAGGGACTTACTTTTACAACCATCACAGCATCCCCACAGTCACATGATCAAAATTTGGGCGTTGGCACCCAACGTGTATTTATGACAGTTACAGCATCCCAAGGTCGTGTGATTGTCGTTTGCGACCTTCCCAATTGGTTTCTGACAAGTGAAGTCAATGGGGGAAGCTAGATTTGCTTAATAACCGCATGATTTACTTAACAACTGAGGCTATTTACTTAAAAGCTATTTATTTAACAACTGCATGATTTACTTAACAACTGCAGCTATTTACTTATGGCAAAAAGGGTCATAAAATGCACAACTCACTTAACAACTGCCTTGTTTAGTGACAGAAATGTTGGGCTTAATTGTAATCATAAGTCGAGGACTACCTGTAGCTAGAAACACAGATGAACTTATTCATGCAGAGATGGAGGTTCTATCCTGCCTCTCATTTAGGAATTCAAGATTGTGCACAAAGTAGCTTCTTCTCCAATTTTTTCCCCTCAACATTAACCAGGTGGGACAGATTGGCCTACAAAAAAAGACTGGCTTAAAATGAACATTCTAAGTCTTGATTTTAGTTTAAATTAGGAACTTAAGGGAAAAAAATAACCTGTTTTCCAGAAAAGTGAGTTCATTTTTTCCCAAGTTACACCCAGATGCCTAAGCTAGTTCAAATTAGAAAGTGAAGGAGAGTGAATATGCAGGCACTGAAGAGGATGGGAGGGTTTCCTATAGCACCTGTCACCCACCCCTTAAGGCAGAACACTTTTTCTCTTGCAGGAGAAGATTATCAGAATATATCACTGAGCCTGGAGAACGGGAGGTCTTTTCATTTTCCCCATTAGGGAGTCAGGAGTGGAAAACATGAAGATAATTCTGAGTCCAAAAAGCCTGCTACATCATCTTAACCTCATTCTCTGAAGGGGCAACATCTCTTTGAAGGAGAGCATAGAGAACTCTGTGGCAGAAGAGTGTTTTTTTCCCTACAAAATTTAAGAGCAAAACTCTTTCTTTTCTAAATCTCTCCCCCTGTTATTTATTTATAACTGTGTATGTATTTATTTGAACAGGGCTGTGCTGAGAATTGGTCTTGCCTGCCTAAATGCTTCCCAGAGCTATGATATCCAGCAGCACAGCAAGTGGAAACTAGAAAGATGGGGCACTATAAAAAAAAAAAAAATTCTTGGAAACAAAAGCGACTGGGAAAATAGGATCCCCAAATCACTAATTGCAAAAAGGGTTTGAAAACAGAAATAAAGTAGGAAAGTACTTTTATGAAAATAGATTGCCCACCCTCTGACTGCTATAAATGTTGCCAGTGCAGCTCAGAATTTGGTACTAGGGTGCCCTGCTCCCATCCCCATAATATTCATCCCTATACTTGCTAATCAAACACAAATATTCCACTTAGAACTATGGGGAAATTTGAAAGGTCAAAACACGATTCCCTCCTGGAAATAGATTTTTAAAAAAGGAAAAGGGGGATCTGGCAGGATTCTGAAGATAAGTAGGTGAAAAATGGGCTCCCCAAGAGAATCTGGATCTTGTATCAGGGTTTTAAGACTATTTGCTTGAGTTTGCACAAAATACCCTTACTCTGTATTGACAAAACATAGGTGCCTTGCTTACATAATATACTATGCCTAAAAAAATACAGTATCATGGCTTAATGTGCTGGCCTGAATCACACAACATGTTAAGATAATAGTTGTGTTCCCACAACACACCATTCCAGAAACTACTCAACCCATGGCAAGCCTTATCTAGTATGTTATACAAACCCAACATCTTGATTTTCAGCTAATGACATGGGATTGGCATAGATGTTTGCAACCTGGCATTTTTCCCTACCTTCAGCCAGCTGGCCCTTAGCAGAGTTGGTCTTGTAAGGCCGGGGTGAAACCTTGAGCTTAGCAGTCTCATTGGCCTGTGAGAAACAAAGGAAAAACATCACTGACACAGCTAATATACCCAGTCAATTTACATATTACTAAAACTCTCTTGTCTGTAAACTTTAATTGCGTGAAACAGCGCATTGTAGGGCAATAATTTTTGAACCAAGGTACCTCAAATTGGCTAAGTTACAGAATTCATCCAAAATCGGAATCTATGATTCCCATAGAATTAAAATTTGGCCAATTTTATAAAACATTTCATGACATAATACAAATACCATAAAACACAATGGTCAATTCCAGGTGTTTGACTGTGCTATACTGTTCAACATGGGCTGCTTTCAAGGCAGATATGTTTCTTAATATTTCCCTGAATTTTTAAGAACTTTTCCAGAACATTAGAAGCTCTGCCACTGAAGGTGTTAAGGAATGAGGTAAAGAAATATCCTGAAATGATGAGCAACAGCTCAAACGGGCTTGTCTAGTCATCACTACTAACTGCTTCTTCAGTCTCTCTGTAAAACTCTTCCCGTCCACTAATATATCTCAATCATGGAGTTTTAAGCTGAAATAACTGTTTAGCCTGTGCCTGTGGTTGATTCACTCTCAACCTTGGAAACTTCCAAATGTATAGATATCAATATCCAGAATTTTCTTTAATAATAATGCTAGCTGGAGAATTGTGGGAATAGAAGCCTCAGCATTTGGAAATTGCCAAGCCTTGGAAACACTGTACTAGGACAATCAAGAGAAGACAATGAAAAAGTCAAGTATAAGGTCTCCTCAACAGAGCACTAACCATGTTTAGACAAGTGTATTTCAGTAAGTCGTGTTATGAATGAATAGGCATGCCAGGTATATTGCTCCATCAGACAACTCAATGAGTCTCTAAATTTATTTCAATGGCTATCTGTTTCAGAAGTAGAATTGATGGGATTCTGTGTAGGATTTTAAATTTGGATGATGCCACTGCATGTCTTTAAAAGAAGGAGATTCAGATTACACTTGGTGTTCAGATCTAATATCATAGATAATATAAACACAGCTGGAAACCTAATGAGATAAGTTTTGGATATAGAAGAGTACATGTGTTTCCAACCCATGGCTATCATAAATTATCTTTCTCTGTCCTAGATTTTGGAAATGCACTGTTGATCACACTAGCAATTCAGAGTAGTGATACTACAGGACAATCGACTTTCCTTGGAGGCTTCCCTTTGTTCCATGTTAAGTGGGAATTGTGGGTGCTTATTCATTGCATTTGGAAAGCACTCTATTGGAAAAGGCAGAAATAAGCATATTTAGCAAGATGGACCAATGGTCTAAATCAGCATATATCAGTTTCTGTCTGTCTGTCTGTCCTATCCAGTTCACTAAGATGGGGTGGTGGGAAAGAAGACAGAGTTTGAAAAGCTTATGTACATTTTGAGGTAAGCCAGCAGCTATGGCTGATGCAGAACATGGATCTCTACTTAGATGCCATTCTTATTGACAGCTAGCCCAACTCTTGAAAGTGGACTGTCCAATAGCATGCCAGGAAAATCCCCGCGATTGTTTCATGCTGCTAAAATTCTTAAATCCCATTTATACTCACCCTGGTCTGCCCTTGTGTCCCACTAGGCTGTGAAAAAGTGGGGAGGGATTTGCTGAGCCCTGGAGGAGTAAAAAGGAAAAAAAAAAATCAGGTGAGGCCTAGAGGAAGTGTTCTGCCATCCATCACCACATTTCCCCTAAATTTAGGAGCATATACAGGGTAGCGCAATCCTTCTAGAAAATGGAGAGACTTGGACGCAACCCCCCCAGCTGAGTCTTTTGACATGTTTTCACCCAAGCCACTCTTATATTCTCAACTTATTTAAAATGGCTATGTTATTTAGGCTTAGTATTTTATTCCATTTGACTGCAAAATCTGCTGCCTGGCACAGAACTGATTGTTTGGGGGTTTCTCTTTTAAAATGTCATTTGTCAAAAACATTCCTTATTATGCATGACAAAAAGGAGACCCTTCCATCCATTTAGCATTATGCTATTAGCCATTTTGGATCAAGCTGTTGTTATGGCTCTTGGTAGGAGAGATACATTTTGGCACTTCCGTTGTAGAAATCAAAGCAAGTGTTGAATTGTAACCTTTCAAAACTTAAATTGACTGGACATTCTCTTGATTGGGTTAGCTGAAGTCCTCTCTTGGGTGTCCCCCCAGAAATCAAGGAATCCAAGCTGTTACTGTGTTACTGATTTTGTTTTCTGCTGAAATCCCTTAGTATATAGCTAGTCTTCTACTTATGACCATAATGGAACTGGCTCATCATGGCTGTAACTCGTGATGGTTGTAAAATAGAATGACCATGTGACCCACTTGATTTTTTTTTTGTGGCAGTTGCTAAGCAATTGCCATAATCATTAAAGGTGCAGTTTTGCCAAAAACTGAAAGTAACTGCAGTTTTCAGCAAAAGCATCATAAAACATGATCACATAACAGTTGGCAGTTGCAAACAATCATAAATGCAGCCTAGTGTGCAAGTGCCCCAAGTTAGGTCATGTTACCTGGGAGGGCGGGCCTGACTATCATAACTTCCAATCTGGGTTGTTAAGTAGCCCCTAGAAATGTCCTTCAAAACTGTGAACAGTTACTAAGCAACTGATTGTAAGTCAAGGACTACCTATAGTAAGCAGAAATTCGAAGGGTGCAGCTTTCCCTTCATGGCAGGAAAGCATTCTGCGTTAATATTCTGATGTTGATGTCAACTCTTTTCCCAGGCATCCACTCCTCTCCTCCTGCATCTTGTTTGCCATTTGATTCTCTTGGATTTTTACGAGGCTCACCTGGAATTAAGTGTCGTTCGGAGAGCTGCTCTTGGGACCTCCGATGCTGCATTCGCATTTGGAGGACTGCAGAGAGGCCACAAGGAACACATCACAGGAATGATGGGTTGCATCAGCCGAGGAGTACATGGAAGCATAAAGTGAAATGTACATGCTAAAATCAAACTCACTGAAAATGCATGGCAAATAACAGAGCAACAATGCTGGTCTATGATTTGAGATTAGTGATTATGGTGCAATGTGTCAATAAGTGTTATAAATGATGTTGGCAATGTTTAAAACAAGGGTGTCCAACCTTGGCAACTTTCTTGTGGCAGACTGGGGAATTCTGGGAGTTGAAGTCCGCAGGTCTTCAAGTTGCCAAGGTTGGACATCCCTGCGTTAAAAGAACAAGCCTGTCCTCTTGGTGAATACTCAGCTGTGTTACCAAATTGAGGATTATTTTCCCCCAAAGTTCAGCTCAGAATGTAAGAGATTTTTCTGCTATTGTGCATACATGTATTCAGTCTTCTCCCCGCATCTGCTGCCTGATAGAGTCTGGCTGGCAGAGAAGATTCTTTTAAATAAATTATGCTGAATGCAACTCAATTGGGCTGCTGTGACTTGTTGTGGCGTCCCTCCAGGGCAAAAGCTGGGGATATTATGCAAAGGTGCCTCGGCACGGCACCTTCAGGATGCATGTATCAAACTAACAAGGTGGGAGGCAATTTTTTTCCCCTCCCGAAGGCTCACATGGCAGGCTTGTAATAATCCCCTTCTAAATGGAGCTGAAGTGAGATTACTCAGCACTACTTAATATTTTAAAAGCAAAAATTAAACAGACAAATCAAAAGAAGTGGGTGGAAACAAGTTCACCATGAGAGCTGTATTTAATCTCCTTCGACAGCTGTCCAAGTGCTGTCCAAGTGGGGCGAAGATGTAATTGAGGCATCCATCTGCCATCTAGCAGAGAGATTTCGACCCTGGCAGGGATGGGGGTGGGTGGGAAGTAACACTCTAGAGGCCCTGTTTCGGCTTGCACCATGTTCTTCTGGTATAAATCTTCCACTGGTAGTGCGTTATGTATTAAAATAGGGCATGTGGGAGACAAGGACAATGCAGATCTGCAGCTCTAAGGTCCTTCCATTGAACACAGAGAGGTCAAACTGGGCCCCATAACCACACAGGCCCTCATTGCACTGGTTTCCTTTGGTTCTCCACCACAGGTCAAATACCCTTCTAATTATGGGTGTCTTTTCCTTATGCTCTTTTAAAATTAAACCAATTCAGAGAAGTCAATGAGGACTCTATAGGCTCTACAGCATTTGCCCTGTTGTTCCCCTAAGCTGTGTTCTGGTTAGACACTCTTTTCTTCCCCACTCCCTATCTTTCTTTATGTCCAGGGAACATGGGAGAGATGTAGGAAAGCACAGCCCTTGATTAACAATTAAACCAGGGGTCTTCAAACTTGGCCCTTTTATGACTTGTGGACTTCAACTCCCAGAATTCCTCAGCCAGAGTGTTCTGGTTAGACACTCTTTTTGTATGCATCACAAATTCAATCATGCAGTCCAGATTGCCACCTTGATTTTTTGGGGACATGTCTGGTTGACCCTTTTTAAAGACAGAAAGGGAGAAAACATGTTGGAGAGTGAATATGAACAATGCAGATTACGGATTTGGTAAAAGAGAACAGGCAAAGCTGCTATTTGATTATGAAGTGACACCACAAATGGATCCAATGAATTCAGTGCTGTCTGCAAGCCTCAGTTTAACTCTATAACAGTGATGGCGAACGTTTTAGAGACCGAGTGCCCAAACTGCAACCCAAAACCCACTCATGTATCGTCGGATGCCGGGTGGGCGTGGCCCATTGGGTGGGTGTGGCCCATTGGGTGGGTGTGGCCGATTGGGTGGGCATGGCTGTGGTGGTAATGGCAGACTGGGTGGAACAAAATGTTCAATCAATCAATTCCAACTTTGCGAGATCTTTTTTTTCCCCTCAAAAAGTTGAAATTGATTAATTGATTGAAACTTTTTTTTTTTTTTTTGCACACAGCGGCAGAGGCCTAAAGCGAAAAAGTTTTATAAAACCCAGCTGAAGGCCTAGGACTGGGGCAATAACGCATGTGCCTACAGAGAGGGCACTGCGTGCCACCTGTGGCACACGTGCCAAAGGTTCGCCACCATGGATCTATAAGGTGGATTCAAAATGATCTGAGTGATCTCAGAACCACTGAACCATATCTTTCAAAGACCCTGGAGTACCAGAGAATAATCAGAGGACTGGAAAAGAGCTGATGTAGTTCCTATCTTCAAAAAAAAAAAAAGGGGGGGGGGAATGGAACCAGGAAAATACAGCCTGACATCAATGCCTGAGAAGATTTTGGAAAAGATAATCAAGCAGTGACTATACGAACATCTAGAGGCAAACAAAGTCATAACAAAAAACCAACCTGGGTTTGTCAAAAATAAACCATGCCAGACAAATCTTATTGCATTATTTGACAAAGTGACAAAATTAGTGGACCAGCAAAATTCTGTAGATATAATTTACTTGGACTTCAGTAAGTAATTTGATAAAGTACACCACAACCTACTACTTAATATGATAGAAAAATGTGGGTTAGACAGCATTACCACCAGATAGCTGACCAACTGCATTCAATGTGTAGTCCTTAATGGAACTGCATCTACAGGGTGGGAGTATGCAGTGGGATACCCCAAGACTCTCTCTTAGGCCCAGTACTCTTCAATATCTTCATCAATGATTTAGATGAGGTGATAGAAGGAGAATTCATTAAATTTGCAGATGACAACAAGCTGGCAGGAATAGCCAATACTCCAAAAGATAGGCTCAAGATACAGAAGGATTTTGACAGACATTGGACCCTATCTAACAAAATGAAATTCAGTGATGAGAAAAGTAACGTTGTACATTTAGGCAAGAAAAACTAAATGCACAGATATAGTATAGGGGGTACCTGGCTCAATATTAGTAACTGTGAGAGGGATCTTGGAGTCCTAGTGGACAATGACTTAAATATGAGCCAGCAGCGTGCTGCAGCTCCCCCCCCAAAAAACAATGCAGTTCTAGGTTGCATTAACAGAGGGACATTATCAAGATCATGTGAAGTGTCAATGCTACTTTATAATGCTTTGGTAAGATCACACTTGAAATATTGCATCCAGTTTTGGTCATCACGATATTAAAAAGATGTTGAGATTCTAGAACAGTGATGGTGAACCTTTTAGAGACTGAGTGCCCAAAAACTGGCCCCGTCCTTGCCCCGACCCCACTCCGCCCCACCCTGCCTGCCCACAGGGCCACTCACCACCTCCAGGGCCCACCGCAGATCGTCCAGGCAGCCCAGCAGCGCCATGGCAGCCACTCCTCTCCCAGGCCCTGCAGCATCAACTATGCGCGTTGGGGCATGAGGGAAGAGTCTTGTCTACGCTACCTGGCTGCCATGTCCTTTGCTGTACTGCTCTGCATGGGCTATGCTCGGGGCGACTCTCCTCCAGGGAGGCTGCTGATGAGGAGGGGGTCGCAGGGGAAGGGAAGGCTGGGGCAATGGCACATGTGCCCACAGAGAGGGCTCTGAGTGCCGCCTCTGACACCCGTGCCATAGATTCACCACCACTGCTCTAGAAAGAGAGCAAGGAAGAGCAACAAAGATGATTGAGGGACTGGCGGTTAAAACATGTGAACAATGATTGCAGGAAATGGGTATGTCTAGTTTAATGAAAAGAAGAACTAGGGGCAGTGGTGGGGTTCAGCTGGTTCACACTGGTTTGGCAAAACTGGTAGCTAATTTTTTGTTGAGATCTGGCCCAGGCCTAGAATGGACTTCCGAAAGCAGCATCCACACAAAGAACCGGTTGTTCACATATTTGAATCCCACCACTGACTAGGGGTGATATGATAGTATATTCTACTATCTAACGGGCTACTATAAAGAAGTGGGGGGGGGTGTCAACTTATTCTCCAAAGCACCTGAAGGCAGAACAAGAAACAATGGATGGAAACTAATCAAGAAGAGAAACTACCTAGAACTAAGGAGAAATTTCCTGACAGTTAGAACAATTAATCAGTGGAATGATTTGCCTCCCAAAATTGTGAGTGCTCCAACATTGGAGGTTTTTAAGAAGAGACTGACAACTATTTGTCTAAAATGGTATAAGGTTTCCTGCCTGAGCAGGTTTGCCATTTTTAAAACTACTATACTCCATTAATTGCTTGAAATTTATCACAAACCGCTTCCTTTTTTAAAATAGCAAGGAAACGGATATAGAATTGTTTTAAATAGATAAATAAACTTTGGATGATAAAGCAACACAGTTCCTCTGAAACTATTTCTTTGAGTTCTAGGATTGTTGTCATTAAATAAAACGAGACTGATTGGAATACTGGGAAATGCCATGTAGGATCATGTTACACGTGTTCATGTAATATTTGTCAATGATATAGCTGAAAGGAAAAATGCAGCAGCTTAAGCAAAACATGGACACAAGTGCATATACACCTTCACATGTACATAATGTCTCTCTTTCAGGCATACCCAGAAAATGGAACTGAAATGGACAGTGCTACCAGATGGCTACATTAAAATCAGTGTTGAAGAAAGTAAGAATTACAGTAGTATGCTTTGGCTAATACATTACTAAAATTAAACCTTATGGACCTGAGACTGCAGCAGCAGCACCCTGCCCCTCCAGTTTTTACAAATTATATGCATGATTACTGTCACTTGAAAATAAACATCTTAATGAAAAACTAGAGGAGAATTTTAGAACCAAACAAGAAATCCTGCTCATAAGGTCTACAGCAGGGGTCCCCAACCCCTGGTCTGTGGACCGGTACCGGCCTGCGGCATGCCAGCAACTGGTCCACACAAACAAGCAAAACTCAATCCGTGGGATGCAGGCAGCACACAAAACCATGTACTCTCTGGTCTGTGGGAAAACCTTTCTCCATGTAACTGGTCCCTGGTGCCCAAAAGGTTGGGGACCTCTGATCTATAGTATAGAGCAGGAGTATCCAATTTTAAGACTTGTGGACTTCAACTCCCAGAATTCCTCAGCCA